ATGTGAGCAGAGATACAGAAAGAATAAACACACACAAACAAATATATATGCAGATGTTTGCCACAATCTACAATAATACAATAATAATGGTAATGAGAAAATTCACTGTGCTGGCCGGCTGTTCTTTATCGACTGCCAATAATGTATCACGAAGTCTCAGCACGCTACAATAACATGGGTTATTGATGGTACTAATTTACGTACATTTTTGAAAAATAATGAAGAAAATACTTTTTTTTCTTTACTAGGAAATTAAATTAGTAAATAATATTAATGTTGATAATCGGAATGGTGATAATGAGTTATAGTAATGGTGTTGATAATGATGATAGTGTGCGTGATAGTGATAATGATAATAATCATAATAATGATGATAATGATAATCATGATAATGATATATATATATATATATATATATATATATATATATATATATATATATATATATATATGTATATATATTGTATATATATTATATATATATATTATATGGTGATAAGGGCAACAGAAATAATGATAATGTTAATGATAGTGATGATAATAATAATAATAATAGTAATAATAATAATAATAATAATAATGATAATAGCAATGATAGTGATAATATTGATAAGACAAAGAAAAAGAAGAAGGAAAAGAAGAAGAAGAAGAACAAGAACAACAACATCAACAGCAACAACAACAAAACAAAAAATAACGATAGTAACAATAATAAAGAATACATTGTTTAAGAGACAGCGACGAATGCTGTCTTTGGAATATTTGTTTCCACTTTTTTTTTGCGTACTGGGACTAAAGTAATTAAAGGGGAAGGAAACGGTGTTTTAGGGACATGTATTCCCCTGTCATTCGCTAATTGCTGCACTAGAAACTCATGAATAATTAAATAGTTGTTATTACAGTAATATTTGATTAGTGTCTACAGTCCACTGTGAGACTGAAAATAAAAATTAATCAAGTAAACTGATCTGTGTAAAATGTAGATTATATTAGTGGTCACTTTCGTATCGAAAGAGAGAGAGAGAGAAAATAATAATATAGAGAATAATTAATCGTAAAAAAATAGTTATACCTATTTATTAGAAAACGCTTGAAAGTGTAATTCGAATACATAATTACGAAAGATATTAATGCAAAACCACTCGCTGTGATTTATTGAAATCCTTTATTGCTGAGGTTTCAATATGCATCAACTTTGAAGAGCAATATTACTTTATCAGTTTCGGAATAAATTGTTAATACTACTTTATCATCTGTTTGGGTGAATTCGTAAGGGTCAGAATACTTTCAGATACTTAGTTTATACGTTTTTACGTATTAAAATATAAGAGAAACAGAGACTGAGTAAGAGGAAAAGAAAGAGAAAGATATAGAAATAGAGAGAGAGAAAAAGAGAAAAAAAAGAGAAAAAAAAGTTTATGCAAAGTCGATGTTCCTTGCGATTGATTCATAGACTACCCTTTGAACGAGAATAGCTAATAAATGTTAATAATTATACCTGTTTTTATTCACGAAAAGTTATTAAAACTTGAATTGGATTAATGATGCTAGTTCCGCGCATGATGTATTTGTGATATCAAACGTAATGTGATTGATTTAGATGTACCTAGATTAATCAAATGTAATTGTAAATGATATGTAAACTTTGGTTTCAAGTTGTATATTGTTGTATTTATGCAACTTTGAAAGATAGAAAGAAAGAAAGGAAGAAGGGGAGAGAGAGAGAAAGAAAGAGGAAAAGAAAGAGAGAAAATACAGAGAGAGGCGAGAGAGAAGAGAAAAATAAAGACAAGAAAAGAAGAAAAATAGAAGAGACTTAGATACATAATCCAGAAGAGAGAAACAGAAAAAAAGACAAAAACAAAAACAAAAATATTAATGATAATAATGATGATAATAATTATGATAATGACTAATAATAACGATTAAAATAAAACTAATAATAATACTAATGATAACAGTATTAATCATGATGATAATAAAAATGATAATAATAATGATTATGGCAACAATGATAATAGTAACAATAATAGGAATAAAGATACTGATAATAATAGTGATAATAATAAAGTAGTGCGGATATGCTACCAAGTTCTTCCACCCTTACACAATATATAGAAGCTGAAAGAACCCGTTTGGATAAGGTGCACTGAATATATATATTAAGTCAGAAATTCATCAGGTCACTTCACTTATGTAATTACTAAGTGTTTACTCACAATTTTCGCAATTTCAAAAATTATTAAATATACATACATACTTACAATGTGTATATAAGTGTGGAGTTCGGAGCCATGTGGCTGACCATATAACGGTAACCACCGACCATGACTTTCTTCAAGTTCGAAGCAGGGAAACGGATCGTCCAGGTAAACCAAATGGTTCGTTGACGTGCAAAACCACGCACGCACTCTCACACTTCGCACACTTGTATTCGTGCGAACACCGATGCGGTGTTTGACAAATTACTCAGCACCATGTTGTGCAAGAATGCACACGCACTCGTATATGGGCGATATGTGTGTGTACTTTGTCTGATGAATATGTGTGTGTGTGTATGTGTATGTGTGAATGAATGAATTATAAAACACTCTACCGTGTTGATACTATGGTAGAAAAACCCACAATGCACAAACTAGATTTATTATTTTAATATAGCAGTAGTCTGTTGACCCCTCCGACATTGCCGAAATAACCGAGGTAAGGCAACCGCTCTTGCGAGGATGCCAATACTAAAGTGTCCTTCGCCTCATTTTCTGGTACCAGGCAACCCACTTTTACACCTGTATAATTTCAGCCTATCACAAGAAATCCTCCCAAGCGCCTGGACTAAAAGCTTAATCATTCCTAAACCTAAATCCAATACTGACATATACAGGTCCATTTCCTTAACCTCCTGTCTGTGCAAAGTACTCGAGAGAATAATTCTGAACAGACTTATGTATCGCATAAATACTTAGTCTGAAGACTGTATGGATTTCTCCTGGGACGTATCTCTTGATCTTCAATTTTTGTATTGCATATGTGTATTAAACAATTGCACCCCTCCCCCATCAAAAGAGAAAAAAAAAGAAAAAGAAAAGTGTTCCCCCTGCTATACTTAAGCAGTATGCATTTGCAATTATAAATGAACGTCTCGAAGCTCTGTCCAATATATATGAATGTTACACTAGCAGATCCTTTTTTTTTCTTTTTTTTTTTTGTATATAAAACAATATTTTGTAGCACCGGGATTGTAGGAGGGTTCATGACTACGCAAACTGAATTTGCAGGAATACTCATGACCATCGAATTTCTAATTAATCAACGCTCAAGAGTAGTTTTCTGCAATTCACAGAGTGCTATTCAGGCTCTGAACACTCCATATTCTGATTTATCCATTCTAAATATAACCCTTTAATACCGTCCTCCTCTGTAACCTGACAGTATCAATAACCCAGCTGTCTCCTCCTGTTTAATATGTACGCAAGTAAGGAAGTACAAATGCAGATCGTGCAAACTAACTCTTTAAATTTAACCTACTGAAACCATAATCTACCAAGAAGAAGCTGACATACAGAATAATAAATTCTTCTCCGAGTCATCCTTAAAATGACTAATCAATTTCTGGGATAATTAGATATTCTGTGCTAAGCCTCGAACATCGTAAAAGACGCTTGCGACCTTCAACTCGTACTTGCAAGGCAGTATCGCCACTCATTGCCTTGTGTGTCTCAATGGATATGTAGATTAACGTGATTATGATGATAAGGAGGATGATTATGATGAGGATCTTAATTTAGGAGAGATATGGATAAGGAACGTGATAATAAGTGCAGTGGCAGTGATCACACTACTAATGATAAATCTAACATTGATATTAATGATAGTATTAACAAAAATAATAAAATAAAAAGGTGATATAGTTTATAACAACAACAATGATGATAATATTAATGATAACGAAAAAAATGTGTAATCTACAAATTTAAAATGGAAATCGGGACACGGTACTGTCCTATTAGTCACTGTGTGAAATAATTGTAATTATTTTGAATACATGTTTATTTCTCACCTACCTATTGTTAAAAGAAAATTTATATATATAAGATCAAGAGAATATTAAATTGGCTGTGACTTTGAAACAGACAAATCTGTCACTCAAAAGAGGAAGAACTTTCACACTCCTTCCTGTTTCGCAGGTCACCAGAAAAACACTCGGCTTGTCATAATTATTTATCTTTTTTCCACTCAAAATAGATCTCCTTTAATAATCTGCAATCTGCTACTCCAGATGCTTATTCGCAATTCCAGCATCAAAAAACGACAAGAAGAATAGACTGGCAAAATATAATACAGTTTCAAATATACCATCTGAATCTATGTTTACAAGTTTCCCATCATGCTCAGCACCAAAAAAACAGAACTTGAATATGCGTGACAAAATAACAGAAAAGAATAGAATATTATTAGTTTATACAAACTAATGATACACCCCCCCACACAATCATTGTTCTTCTACAGGTAATAATACAACCAACTTGTGGACTGATCTTCTAATAATAGTATCAAACTGACCTTTGTACTCTTTACCTGTTTTCTGCACTTTGTACCTAACACTCACATCCCGAACTTTACCATCTCTTCCTTTTTCTACTTTTACAACTTGTCCCATTTTCCATTTTCCCTTAACTGTATTAGAATCTTGTATTAACACAACATCACCAGACTGCAAATTTCTTTTATCAGTATGCCATTTTTGTCTAACAATTAATGTAGGGAAATAATCTCTGTGCCATTTACGCCAAAATGTATTAACAACATTTTGTATATAATCTAACCTTCTCTTTTTGTTGAAAGAATCTTTCCATGGTCCACACGGTGCATGATTACTTACTCTGCCTAAAAGCAAATCATTCGGGCACAAGTAAGTTCCTAATTCTAAATCCATGCCAGGTTTTAACCCAATAGGCCTTTCATTCATGAGGTTTGCCATTTCAAAAAATATAGTTTGTAGATCA